GTTTCTAAAAATAGCTGCATTTTCTTTTATGCAAAATCTCATTCTTTCTTTTGATTTTGAAGTAATAGAACTAGTCCTGTGTCATGTGAGTTTTGTGTCAACAGCTTCTTAATGAGAAGAGGGTTCTTTGCTGAAACTAAAGTGTTGCAAAGAACCACTGAGAAACCTTTATATTTGAGTGTTGTGTTCTCTCATCACCTCTCATTACTCATGCTGAGTTTATCTCTATTACTCCATCTCACCTCTCAGTAGTTTCCACACGTGTCCTCTACAGCTTGTTTTTGATGGCTTTCATTCCATCACTGTACATAGATTCCAAACTCAGAAATTTACGTTCCAACTCTGAACTTTACATTCCTAATTTAAGGAGAGTCATTTGTCATCCTGTCTTGATGTCATACCACACACTTACCAGAGTAAAAATGTGTTAAAAATGTATTGGCATTGGCGTCAATCACCAAGTGCTTTTTCAAGCACTTAAACTAGACGTGTGAAATACCCATGAGGTCTTGATTATTAATTACTGACAGCACAGATTCATCTTGGGTGTTCCTGATGGTCATGTGCAGTGCACTTTTTCAAAACCTTTATAATGACAGTATCTTTAATAATTGCAGCTGTACTCCTGACACAGAGGCTGTTCCAAACAGTAAAATGATGCAGGCTCATACGTGAGTGTGATTTTAAAAAGTAGGATGAATGCTGGTTCAGGAACAATATTCCAATAAACCAGGTTTTAAGGTTTAGGTTTAGTGTTAAAGGGATCATGAAAATTACAGGCCTCTCTCATCTTTTTAAGTGGGAGAACTTGCACAATTGGTGGCTGACTAAATACTTTTTTCCCCCACTGTAGTATTGTTTGTCTGTCTTCATTTCTTTATTTTTGGGGTCGTCACATGTGGTTGCCGCAGGCATCACAGTATGTTAAGGCACGTAACATTTCCAACACGCCAATTAGGAATTTGGCCAATCACAACGCACTGGATAACTGGCCAATTAGAGCACACCTCACTTTTCAGAGCAATTAGCTTTTTAAAAATCGACGCGTTTCAGAAAGGCGGGGCATAGAGGAGAAACAATAATGTACAGTATGTGGAAAATAATGTGTTTTTTGCTAAAGCTGCTAAATATACCAAATACACAAAATAATGTTCTTTTTAGCAACATCATATGACCCCTTTAAGGCTGGAGTTGGGAAACTGAACGTCTTATCAATCTTATATGATTTTAGAGGTGGTTAAAAAATGTTGATCCAAGAACACTTGCCAAAATCTAAAGCATTACTGCGCTACTGTTCAAAAGTGCTTAGAAAGGAAATATTAAACCAATTGAAAATGACACTAAAGACATGTGTAATGTTACAAAAGATTATAATAATAATAAATGTTTCTTGAGCAGCAAAGTATCATATTAGAATGATTTCTGAAGGATCATGTGACACTGAAGACTGGAGTAATGATGCATAGAATCACTTATTTTAAATTGAAATAATACTTCACAATATTACTGTTTTACTGTATTTATATTCAAATAAATGCAGCCTTGATGAGCATAAACAAACAAACAAACAAAAAAAACGTACACCAAACTTTGGTATGCATTAACCTAGCGATATTTTAAAACCAGACATTGTTATATTAGTCAAGTCTCTCATGATTTGACTAACATAACTATCGCTATTACTCAAACTTCATAGCCATAACCGCTAATTATTATTAAATATGTGTTGTATTCAGGAGAGGTGTGCTGTTAATTTTTAAAAAAAATGTTGTTAAAGTGATTTGAACCTGGATAAAATCCCTTTGCGCAAGAAAGAACCACTCATACTTTCTCTAGAACATGTAAAAGTTAACTTTAGTTTGTACTTCTTTCTCCCACATCAATTATGTTCACAGAAAACTCATTTAAAAACTTTTCTTTATCTGCATGCTTTAAAAGAGTTGGTACAGTGAGAAGTTTTCCTAGCTGGGACTCTGGTGCTGTGCAGGCCCAGTGTGTCCCGTCCCTGTAGTGCTTATGAATGTTATTTATTAGAGGTTAGTGGGGGTTGGTCAAACAGGGTGACATCAGCTCACACCCTCTGAGTCCGGAGGTCCCAGACGCCTGCCGTGTCGCTCTCTCATCCTCCCATCAGTCTGCGGATTAGCCGGCTAAAAGAGCCACCTGTCAGCGTGTGTGTGTGTGTGTGTGTGTGTGTGTGTGTGTGTGAGCAGTTAAGTTTGTTTGGGGTTTCTCCCTGATATGTGTTAGCGTGCTCTCCGTGTGTCAGGGGAGGCTACTTAGTGTGAGATGAAGCTTGAGGCCCTCTCTCAGAACCAATGCTGTTTCATACCAGCAAAAAGAGCAGTTTATTGGCATTTACAGCACATAACTCATCTGTGGTTTGGAGTGTGACATAACATGCCGTGCACTGGAGCCCAATACTCTCACGACATCTGATACACACTAAATCCTTGGCTCATTTTTAAATCCCCAAATGAAAATGCATGGATGCTAACAGTGGTGTGCCAACGCTGAAGTGTCCTTTTGGTCAGTCCGATTTAGGTGCCCCCGTACCACAGTGGCTCTCGCCAATTCTCCCCTGCCCCTCCGGAGGTCTGTGCACTACACTGTGGATATATAGACTACCATTCAAAATTTTGGTCTCTTGCTCATAAGGCTGCATATATTTCACTTCAAAATATATTAATTGATGGACTGGAGTGGTGTGGATTACTTGTGGATTATTGAGATGTTTTTATCAGCTGTTTGGACTCTCATTCTGACGGCACCCATTCACTGTAGAGGATCCATTTGTGGGAAAGTGATGTAATGATACATTTCTCCAGATCTGTTCTGAAGCAGAAACCAACTCATCTACATCTTGGATGGCCTATCTATATCCTTGGATGGATATAGAAACTAGTCATTTCCCCCAGAAATGAGGAAAAGGATTTCATATTTACTCAAGCATGCATTTTTTTTTCGTGGAAATGAGCACTGGGTGTCCGGTTGGTTGTGCGTAGGTGGGTTAAGAAAAAAAAAACACTGCATATAGTCTAGCATCGTATTAGAAAGAGATAAACCAGCACATGATTCAGTTGGAAAATGCAGATAAGGCTGTTTTTGACCATGAAGACATACACCCTTATTATCCAGCCAAATGGCTCAAGATTACAATGTTATGTACAGATTTTCTGCATGATTCCACAGAATAAACAATCACTATACTTGGTGCTAAAGAATGTATGAAGGTTTCGTAGTAAACACTTTTGAATAAGATTATAATCTGGGTCATTTACAGTAAGCACTCCTCTGATAATACACATGATTCATCATGTATGCGATTATTGCAGCCAGCAGCGAAAGTTTTCTATGGTATCTACAAACAAAGTGTATCAACACAGTGGTTGGCAACGCATGCCCACAGATGCTGTTCTGTGAAATGGCAGGTGAATTCAATAAAGCCACACCTTTGTGAAAAGAAAGAAACTGAATATGTGAGACTGATATATTAATTGTACAGTAGATACACGCCTGAAAATATTTGCTTTTTGGAGGCAGCTAAGAAAACTGCAGTGCTTATACAAGCTGAATTAATGTCTGTGAGGAAACTTGGTGCAGAAACTGAAATTGCAAAAGCCTTCAGTGGCAAAACGAGTGAGTCAGTGTTTTGGAAATGTTTCATGTGAGCCACTATGGTTTCATTTTATATGTAATTATAAATTTATAAAATAATAAATAGGTTTTTTTTTAATCTTGTGCCACACAGAGTTCACAGAGTTTCAGAGTTCAAATTTGAAAATAATAATAATAATAATAATAATAAATAAATAAAAATAATAATAACAGAATGTAATAAAATATATAAGAAATTCATCTAAAAACTAGGGGTTTTACTAAGGGTTTTAATATTCAACAAATCAGCATTTTAGAATGAATTCTGAAGGATCATGTGGCACTGAAGACTGAAGTGCTGATGCTGAAAAAAATTTAGATTTGACATCACAGAATAAATAACATTTTAAAATATTTTCAGTTAACAACAACTCTTTAAAATTGAAATAATATTTCACAATATTACCATTTTTATTTTTGATCGAATAAATGCAGACTTGATGAGCATTAGAGACTTATTTCAAAAACATAAAAAAATCTTACTGACCCCAAACTTTGGAAAGGTAGTGGTGCTGTTTGGCAAAATTAAAAACAACAACTTGCTGTCAACTCTCCTCATCCTTTCATTCCAATTTCAATTCAACTTCACACTCATTATTTGAAAGGGAGCCAAAAAAGTTGCACAAAAGCTTTGCACTTGCAATCATTTCTAACGGAAACATGCTGCTACTGCTTAATGAAAGGGAAAGAAAGAGACGAGAGAGGTAGGAAGTGAAGAACACGGGGCAGGTGAAGTGGAACAGCAGGTATGGAGCTGAACGCCTTTGAAGCACAGCCGTAACTCAATCCTGAGGTTTTGACTGGAGCATAACGGCTGTCTATAGTCCATTCAGCACATGGAGTGAGTCCAGGCCCACCAGCGGATCCTCATTTAAACCACGGCGCCTCCTGAGAGTAACTTATCACCTTTGGCCTCCCACTGAAAGGATCCTCTCTCTCTGCACCCTTTTGTCTTTGTTGTCTAGTCTTTCTTTTCCTCTCAGAGTAACATACATTTTTCTGGTTCATTGCTTTTCAGGGAAGCCGTGGTGAAAACTACGCTCGGGCACAGACATAGTCAAGGGACGATGGAAGGATTTGTTCAGTCATGTTATTTTTCTTTTTTCTTTAGGCTCATCACCCTGCTGACCTTTGACCTCATCATAAACTCAATCAAAGCTGGTGAAGGATTTTTCACCGGCTTCTGTTGAACTTCAAATCCTGGCCGATGACTAATTATGTTGAAATATATTATTGAAGGTGGTGAATGTGGCTTTGATGGCTGTAGCGGTGATTAGCAGAGTCGCAGTGTGCTGACAGACTGACTAAAGCCCTCTCAGAGAAATTGTGTCTTTGAATTCAACCCCTTTAAAGCAAAGCTGCTAAATATATTGAAACTAACAACAAACTAAGAAAATTCTAGATATATTTATTCGTTCAGCAGATATTGAATTAGTATACAACTAACTTAACTAACAATTACTAATCATTGAGTTGAGGACAACTAGTCAATGAATTTAAAGGTGCTTATTTGTTTCTGTCACTTTTTTATTTATTTATTTTTTACTAAACATTCAGTAAAGATAATTTTTATTACATTTTTGCTCCAAGTAGAGTTTTTCAGTCTCTTATTTCTCTTCATAAACCTCCAGTCAATTAAGAGGGATACAAGAATATTTTTTTGTATTTTATTTTTGCATTTTTATTTAATATTTTCTCCAGGTATTTTTTATGTTTTGTTTTGTCTATTGTTTGTCATCCTAATCCTCCAATACAGATAAATTAAGTGACTTTAATATTATTAGCATTTCTATTTTATTTCGGCAATTTTATTTTTAATTTTTGCTCTAAGTAATTATTTTTGTGTATTATTGCTTATTTCTGTCTCTTAGTTTCACCCTAAATATCCAGTGCAAATAAATTACAAGACATTCATATTTTCAGCATTTTTTCCCCACGTCACATGTTAACATAAATTTGCTAAAATTTGATGAAATTTGACCATCATTTATTTTTTTCTTTTCTTTTCGACCCTGTGTAGAGTAGATGATTCTTACATAAGCAGGTGGTTGGAAGAGTTTAAAATGAGAGGGCTTGATGGCATAATACATAAAAATAAAGTCAGTTGTAGAGCAAGTTATAGTTATTTCGGTAGCACTTTATTTTACAGTCCTGTTCTTCATGTACATACTATGTACTTATTATAGTAATTACAATAACTAGGTAATAACTAGGTACTAACCCGGAACCTAACCCTACCCCATGTAGTTACTAAGTATTACCAGAACTTTCTTAGGTAGGTACACTGTAAGTACATGTACTGTAAAATAAAGTGCAACCGTTATTTCAATTAAAGATTACAAAGAATTGTTCTTCCGCTCGGGCACAGACATAGTCAAGGGACGATGGAAGGATTTGTTCAGTCAGGTTATTTTTCTTTTTTCTTTAGGCTCATCACCCTGCTGACCTTTGACCTCATCATAAACTCAATCAAAGCTGGTGAAGGATTTTTCACCGGCTTCTGTTGAACTTCAAATCCTGGCCGATGACTAATTATGTTGAAATATATTATTGAAGGTGGTGAATGTGGCTTTGATGGCTGTAGCGGTGATTAGCAGAGTCGCAGTGTGCTGACAAACTGACTAAAGCCCTCTCAGAGAAATTGTGTCTTTGAATTCAACCCCTTTGAAGCAAAGCTGCTAAATATATTGAAACTAACAACAAACTAAGAAAATTCTAGATATATTTATTCGTTCAGCAGATATTGAATTAGTATACAACTAACTTAACTAACAATTACTAATCATTGAGTTGAGGACAACTAGTCAATGAATTTAAAGGTGCTTATTTGTTTCTGTCACTTTTTTATTTATTTATTTTTTACTAAACATTCAGTAAAGATAATTTTTATTACATTTTTGCTCCAAGTAGAGTTTTTCAGTCTCTTATTTCTCTTCATAAACCTCCAGTCAATTAAGAGGGATACAAGAATATTTTTTTGTATTTTATTTTTGCATTTTTATTTAATATTTTCTCCAGGTATTTTTTATGTTTTGTTTTGTCTATTGTTTGTCATCCTAATCCTCCAATACAGATAAATTAAGTGACTTTAATATTATTAGCATTTCTATTTTATTTCGGCAATTTTATTTTTAATTTTTGCTCTAAGTAATTATTTTTGTGTATTATTACGTATTTCTGTCTCTTAGTTTCACCCTAAATATCCAGTGCAAATAAATTACAAGACATTCATATTTTCAGCATTTTTTTCCACGTCACATGTTAACATAAATTTGCCAAAATTTGATGAAATTTGACCATCATTTATTTTTTTCTTTTCTTTTCGACCCTGTGTAGAGTAGATGATTCTTACATAAGCAGGTGGTTGGAAGAGTTTAAAATGAGAGGGCTTGATGGCATAATACATAAAAATAAAGTCAGTTGTAGAGCAAGTTATAGTTATTTCGGTAGCACTTTATTTTACAGTCCTGTTCTTCATGTACATACTATGTACTTATTATAGTAATTACAATAACTAGGTAATAACTAGGTACTAACCCGGAACCTAACCCTACCCCATGTAGTTACTAAGTATTACCAGAACTTTCTTAGGTAGGTACACTGTAAGTACATGTACTGTAAAATAAAGTGCAACCGTTATTTCAATTAAAGATTACAAAGAATTGTTCTTCAGAATGGCATGCACTAATAAATTGTGCATAATAAGACAACAAATTATTTTTCATGTTGACTTGAAGCTCTGTAGTGTATCTCTGTGGTAATACTTTTGTGGAAATTGTGATACTATATGCACTATATACATTTCTGCTGTTGCAGTGTTTTTTGATCAAATGTGACACTCAGCACAGTTCACAGTTTGTGTGTGTGTGTGTGTGTGTGTGTGTGTGTGTTTTAATTTTACAGTCCTGTTCTTCATGTACATACTATGTACTTATTATAGTAATTACAATAACTAGGTAATAACTAGGTACTAACCCGGAACCTAACCCTACCCCATGTAGTTACTAAGTATTACCAGAACTTTCTTAGGTAGGTACACTGTAAGTACATGTACTGTAAAATAAAGTGCAACCGTTATTTCAATTAAAGATTACAAAGAATTGTTCTTCAGAATGGCATGCACTAATAAATTGTGCATAATAAGACAACAAATGATTTTTCATGTTGACTTGAAGCTCTGTAGTGTATCTCTGTGGTAATACTTTTGTGGAAATTGTGATACTATATACACTATATACATTTCTGCTGTTGCAGTGTTTTTTGATCAAATGTGACACTCAGCACAGTTTGTGTGTGTGTGTGTGTGTGTGTGTGTGTGTGTTTTAGTGGATCTTCATGTGTGAGAGCGCTGGACATGTTTGTGTATGCAGAAGCTTGTGTGAATAGGTGAGCTGACCCTGAACTAACACCAGCAGCCACCCGCTTCCCTATAGTCACCTAATGAGAGCACCCTTCGCTCAGCCCTTCGCTCAGCCCAGCATCCATCGCTCATGTGCGCCCATCCCTGCTCCTCAAAAGAGCCCCTGAAAGCTGTTTGTTTTGATACTTGTAGAATCTCTGCTCCTGACAAAAGGACACAAGAATTCTGACATGAAACATTGAGGCTAAAATAACAAACAAAGCGCCAAGATAAACAGAAAGAATGAGGGCAGCATGTTTCATGCATCTATCATTTCATCCCTCATTCATTGCAATCCATCGTTATCTCCACAATGTGCAAGATAACGAGGAAAAAAGGAATAGTTTACCTGAAAATAAAAATTCTGTCATCAAATATTCACCTTCATGTTGTTCCAAAACAATATGACTTTTTTTCTGTGAAATGCAAAAGCTACATTTTTATAAGACTTTTCTGAGAAAAACTGGTGAGGGTGAATAAATACTTAATTTTTTGGTAAACTATCCCTTTAAGTGCATAAACAGTCTGCTAGAGAATGCAAAAGTTATCTCATTCCAAACTCCGATATACCTTGCCGTATCCAATGCACTCTTCCTCTGACAGGTAAACTCTGCACTGTCCTGTAGCGTGCAGATGTCTGAATTTCAGCCAGGTTTGGTGTGTTTGAGGCGGCTGATAAGTGTGCGATAGGGGCCAGACTGCAGTCTGCTTCGGATGCAGAGGTCTGAAAATGAGAGCGACACTTTTCAGACAGGATGCAGTTGTCACTTGAGCAAACAGCAGTGGACGGCACGATAAACAGGTTCATGCTGCCATGTCCCCTGCGTCCAGACAGGACCTTTTTGCCCTGTTAGTTTAGCACTGCATTCCAGTTTAATCTGTAAAGTGCTTGGGAGGAAAATATATGGAACAGAGATTATGTGTCGATAAAACAACCAGAATGTGGTTCTATTTTATTTTATTGCATTGCATTGCATTGCTGTTGGCATTTACCCATGCAAGGAAAGCAAATTGAAATCAGCATTAATTTTGTGTGCATGTTTGCACCATTGGCCTACCTCATTTTTCAATTAGTTTATTCAGTAAGGTGCTAAAACGTGGTTTTTGGTCCTTTTTATTATTTTATTTGTATTATTTGTATTATTTTAGTATTTTATTTAAGTCCTACTTCTTTTATTGCAAGCTGTATTTATGGCTAAACTAAACCACAGTGTCTATGCAGGATTGTAATGCACTAGAAAAGAGTCCTGTGGGTGTCACTGTACAGTTCTGCTCCTCTACAGAAGTTGGAAGTATCTAGTCCTCTACATATGCATGTTATGAATGCTTATAAGATAGGAGAACAAAGAATTTAATTTCATTTTGAAGAATCATATGGTAATGTAATTTGAATTGCAGACTATATATTATACTGTTCTTGTTTAAAAATATGTATTTGCGCAGTTTCGTTTATATCTGCTAGTGTCTTTTTTATGTCTTTATGTGCTAATGTGTGTGTTTTTTTTAGGTAGAGACTATGAGTGTCTGGGACTTTAAATGACCTCATAGATTCCTGGTACTTGACAAAATGCGAATACGTCAAGGTTATTAATTTGTGGCCTGGAATTCCAGTAGTGTAAGATGCCATGTACAGTCACCCCTCCTATAAACTACTGCACTGCATTGTACAAATTCCTTTGACGAA